ACGTGCCGAACGCACCCGCCAGCTCGGAGGAACCGAGCGGCCAGCACCGATGCCCGTCTCCCCATGGGCTCTGCTCGTCACCCCACCGCTGTCCCCGCTCTGCCGCTCACCTGCCTGGTGGAAGCCCTCGGACAGCCCTCCGCAGCCAGAGAAGACATCCAAAGTCCGCAGCTTGGGGAGCTTCAGCTCAGCCGGCTCCTGCTCGCTTTGCTCGCAGCTCACCGACGACTTCCCTTTGCCTTTGCCTGCGAACAGAGCCCCGCTCACATCAAAAGGCAAAGTCACTTCCTCCTCTTAGTGCTTACAAGGCAAATTCTTCTCCCCCTCCTCCGCAGCAGTTAAAACATCAGCTTCAAGCACCTCTCTGCCCCTTAATTGTTTCACCGCTGCTGCCAGATTACACCCTTGCATTTGGAAGGCAAGCCTCTCGTCTTGATGATCTTAGAGGTCTTTTCCAACCTTAATGATTCTATGATTCTTTCCCCCGTGCGATCCCTTTCCGTCCAACAGCCCGCGGGTGCAGGCAGAGAGTTTCTGAGGGTCAGACGGGCGCAGCGATAACTCTCAGGGCAGCTCCCCGTGTCGGGAGCAGGGTACAAAGCCCTACGCTACGGAGCAGCCAGCCCCTGGCAGAGGGTCGGCGAGTGAAAGGCTTTGAGATCTCTCAGGGACCAGGTGCTCTCGCTGCAAGGTTTATTTTGAAAAGATTAGGTGCCTTAAAAACAGAGCTGCAGACCGCATCGTTGCATCCTGCCAGAGCATCAGAGCAAGGAGAGCACAGAAACATCTGGTCGGCGGCACGTCTTATCTCCGCTTGGCAGTGTGTAACGGCAGACGCAAACTGGTTCACCCACCCAAGACCTCTCCCACCAAGCAGACTTACCTTTCCCTTTCCCCTTCCCCTTCCCTTTATTGCCAGAGCTCCGAGCGTGGTTGGGAGGATCTTCAAAGCTCTTGGTTTTTGCGTTGTAAGCCTGGGGAAGAGAAAGGGTTGAACACAAAGAGCTTTTCTAGCTCAGGAACGGCCGAGACATTGCCAACACCACATCAGAGCCGCAAAACCCAAGGGCAGGACACAGGAGCAGCGCTGGGGGCCGCAGAGGGTCCTTCACCTCCCTCTCCATTGCGTCAGGGAGCTGAGGCGGCCACTCGAGGGTCCAAATTTGTCCCCTCAGCTCCATAGGAAGGGGACAGCTCCTGGC